TCAAAGCACTTAGGCAAAATCTTGCTATGAACTCAGTCACTCACAGTCATAGGCAAGATAACCAAGTGGAAGCAGATACAAGCAGTTCCTCAAAGCAACCATGGCTGTTCTGTGACCAGAAGCGTCAGCAAGAGAGAACATTTTAAAACTGCCAGCACACCACAAATGATAACAAATTAGGATAACAACGGCAAACTGGATGCCGTTAATTGAACGCAACATCAAGAAGCTTAAGTAAGACTACCAATCAGCAGACATGTCCATGAACTTATCCATATTCTTGTCAAATATCAACATTTCAAAAAAATCCGGACATTTCCATTTGTTTTACAGACATCAACTTACATCCACGTGCTACAAATACAAAAGGTTTTAAGATACAAAATACTAGTATGAGAAGACCGGAGTTTGCAAGCAGATTTCCTTTAGAGTATTTAATTAAACACAATTTTCTGGTGGCTGTTTTACATATCTGAATTCTAATTAAAACCGTACAACATTTAAGACAATTTTAACTTAGAATATTTCATCAACACAATTTTCTCGTGGATTTTCACATAGCAATCTGCATACCCTATGTACATACCCTCCATCTGCATAGTCTTTGCGGCATAAATATGCCAAGGCCATGAAATGGGGTATTTGCCAAAAATATAGAGCAGCAGGGAGAATCATAGCAGTGAGTGAGACCTCACCAGCAGCAGCTGCCCACCTGAATTTACAAATCAAAAAAGTTAATATGATGCATCAAACAAACAAACCCAAACCCAAAGAAAATCAGCTTATAACTATTTCAATGAACTCAATGGCAAGCACAAGGGATAACGAAACAATGAAAAGATTGCTCTCCTTTAATTAATCATTATCAAAGAGGCAGCTCAACAATCAAAGATGTCAAATTCTCATGTGAATTTGTCACTCTAACGTTGCATCAACAAGTAATTATTCTGTTATATTGATACAGAACACACACCCACACAGAGAGAGAGAGAGAGAGAGAGAGAGAGAGAGAGAGAGATCTATATACAATTTGGCCCAAAATTAAGGTAGTACAAGGCAAGACTTCACTAAGAGGAAAAAGAAATGCAAATACCAGAACATTCACATAAATGGCAAATCAATCATTACTCTTACTACATCAGAATAATAAGTTTGCAACTATCAAAGAAACTGTCCACTAAAATGGAATTAACATGGCTGTTCAACTGATCACCTTAAAACTGCAACAGGATAATACTCGACTTAGGAACTTACAAGATCCTAAACTGGGTTTCTGTGGTTTCCCAATAAAATGGATGACCTATCTTCTACTACTAGGTTTTTCCATAGAAATTGTAGATGTCTACAGAAAGAAGGTACTGCAATATGTGAAACTTGTTCAAATTTTCAGAGCAGAAACAAAAATCATATTCAGTAATTACCGTTCTAATTCATTTAACATTATTGTTTCACTGAATTCTTTTTGACCAACTCATCCTGAAAAAAGCGTGCAACAAGCATATGGCAAAATATCTTAAGCCTTTCAATGACCACACAATCCAATGGAGTTTCTACCAGCGTAGCACCGGTAAATATCAACTTTTTACATAACATTAATGTCCTAGACCAGACACAACATCTCTATATTAACACCCAATTCAAAGTTCTGTTTTCCCTCTTGGTTACCCACACAATTCAAAATTGGAATGCAACCTCTTGGACCAGTCTATTCAGCACCCGCCGCCCCCAACAAAACTGCAAAAAATAAGAATAAAACAATATAATAGAAAAGAAATCATTACTAGTCTACTAAAAAGAAGACTTCCTCCCAAAAGGAAGAAAATGTCAAATGTCAACAATGTTAGCCTATAAACTGAAGAAAAATGAAACAAACAGATCACAGATATGCAATTAGAACCAAAGGTGAACTGGAAAAACTACCCAAGAAGAGGCGGAATAGCACCAACAATAGCTCCAACCCAAGTATTTATTGGATGCATTTGTTTCAGTGGTGTGTATACAAATGCATAAAGCACAAGGTTAGAAGCAGCAAGCCCAGCTGCCAACACATTAGCCTGCAAAAACCTTGTCATATGAGATGCTTACATTAGTTACTCCAACCATAGTTACAGTATAAGCAAACAGAACCCAAAAAAAATAAAGGGACACTAAGCAGGCTAGATATTCAAATTATCCAACCACCTTCCAAGCCAGTAAAGCAGTGCCAGCAATGCCAGCACAAGATGCCCAGGTGACAGCATGAGGAATTGTAAGACGACCAGAAGGGAGTGGTCTGTTCCTGGTTCTCTTCATTAGAGCATCATTATTAATTTCATAAACCTAACAAGAAAATGCAAATTTAAATGAGTGGTATTCTCAATCCAATCAGGGAAACTAAGGGATAAGCAAATCCACACGATACACAAAAAATGTACAAAAATGCAGACACGCCAAATCCAAATCATGGTAACCCAGACTTTAGAGAACAGGAAAATTTGAATAATAATAAAAAAAGCATGCCATTTGGAAGATGCTATTTTCTTAAAAAAAAAAAAGATTCTGACAGGATAAACCTCACACCAGGGAACACAGGATGATGAACACAATAAATAAGTTGGTTTTATAGTTTGATGAACGATTTCAATTATAGATTCGCAGAAATAAAGATCATGCCTATTGGATTTAAACCAAACTCATGCGCTTATTAGAGTCGTAAAGGTTAACGATTTCTTATTAGCCAAGCATAAACCCCAATATCAACAAGATATTTCTCACTCCCACAATACAATCTCCTGAAGCAAAATGGGCTAATGAAAGTTAAACAGACATGTCTTTTGCATCCAATAGGAAGAGTCTTGTTTCATAGTACTGAAGATACTTCTCCAGTCATTACACTGCAGCATTTAGGCAAGACTCCAAAAATGTCCGAATTCTCCACTTAAACAAGCATGATTACATGGTTTCTTCATACTGTAACTGCCAATACAACACAAAGAATAATAAACACTATAACACAATTGCAAGGGACAATACTAAAGATAAAGCAACGAAGACACAAATTACTAATAACAGCAACGATACCACGTTAGAGATGAGCATGTGGCCCAAAAGATGAAAACCTGATTTAATGTGTTGGCAGACGCTGCAACCATCATTGTACCAGCACATGTGCAACAAAGTCCTGTGAAATCAATGGCACTACCACTTCCAAGTATATATCCAGTTCCAGAAGTAGCTACCACCAACAGGCTACGGACAACGATTAAAAAAAAAAAAGTTAAATTTTCTGCCGTTATATATCTCTATGCCATTTTAAAACTATTTACATGTTATATCATGTCAAGACTAATTGCATATATCATATTAAGACTGCAAAATTAAGATGATCAATATAAGCTATGATCGTAATCCTGCTGCAACAGCGCCTATAGTTTAGTTCCAATGTGACAGCAGCAAGATTTTACAAAATTTCTGAACCTTTCACGAAAGTTCATTATACTAATAAAAAAAAATTAGATCACAAATGGCAGATCATTTTTTTTAAGTTCTTCTAGTTCAATAACCTTATTAATATTGTATTGATTCGACCAAGATTCACTTTTTTTTCTTCTGATAGCACTTTAAATCTTAAAAATCAATTCCAATATACGAGCACAAAATTCAGTTGAATATCGACCCAAAGTTAATCAAATTTAATCGGAAATGTAAATGAATCGAAGAACATTCAGCAAACTATAACAGGAAGAGAAAAAACAACTAACAAACATATAGAAAATAATGAAATTTACCTCAGGCGAGCTTTGGATAGTTCAAAGTAACAGCGGCCGTAATAATTGACGGCATCCTTCAGTTTCGACGCCGAAAACGCAGACAACGACGTCGTGTTAAGAAAAGAAGATCCGAGTGCCCGACTAGGATCCGACTTGAGGGAGTCGGAAGCAAAGGAGGTTGTGCTGGCGGCTGCCGAGTAGAATTGAGAGTGGAAGAGCGAGGATCCGACGGCATAATTGTAATTTCTCGGGTTTGCTGTAGAAACGAGTTTAGATGAGAAAATCAGTGAGTTTCTCCACATGACTCAGTTCTTCAGATTGAAAGAAATTTGCCCGGAGCAATCAAAGGAGGTTTCCCTTGGGACGGCGGGAACGGATTGGATGGAGCTGGATCGTGCAGACCGATCAGGCGAGTGATGGGAGGAAATGAAAGGATTATTTACCTTAAAAGTCCTTAATGTTCGACCTAATTCTGTTGGTCTCTACACTTTTATTTTCTCACGTTTTTCTACAAATGAAAGAAATCATACGAATTAAGTTGAAACGTCCGTTTTGATAAATCAAATAAATCCATTGTGATTTTTGACAAAAAAAAATAAATCCATTTTGAATGCTTAATCAATTTTTTTATCCATAACTTTCATACACTGTAGATGAATGACAAGGTGTGTTATTTTTTTTTTTTAAAATATGCAGCACCATATTGGTATAATTTTCTCAAATGACTATTCGATAATCTTAAAATATTATTCAGGGTTTGTTTTTTTTTTTTTCCCAACGATTCAGGGTTTGTTTGAAAAATTGAAGTTTGACGTCTGAAAATTTCAATGTTTTCAGAATCGGATCGGACCGACCGGGAACCGGTAGCATCAACGGTCCGATCCAACATCACACCAGAAACTAATGGAAAATCGCTAGGAACCGGACGAATCGTTAAAAACCATTTAACCGTAAACCGCCGATTCATGAATTTTCAAGCAATAGACTGAAATTGAAAACAATAAAATGTGAATCTTCAAGCAATAGACTGAAATTGAAAACAATAAAATGCATGAATCTTCAAGCAATAGACTGAAATTGAAAACAATAAAATGGATAGAGGCAGCTAAGATTCGAACCGGGCCTTCACGACCACAAGGGGTATGCTTACCACCAATCTACAACCGAAGGACGGGCTTCTCTTTGTGTAGAATTTTACTTAATCTAATCAAAATATAAAATTAGATTAAATTAAAAATAACCCTAGCATTGGCTTCAGACGGCACCATTCCTTCAATTCACTTTCTTTCTCAGCCGCACGGCGCACAGACGCACAGACGGCACCATTTCTTATTTCTCCTTGGCTTCAATTCACTTTCTCAGTTCCTCCATTCCTTCAATCTCCAGTTAATCTTTTTTTTTTTTCTTCATCATCCTTCCACATCCAAATATCCACAACAAGATCAGCACACTATTATTTTTAGACGGGACTCCAAAGCTTTGCATCTTGGTAAGTTTAATTTTTGCCTTTTCTTGATTTTTGTTTTCTATATTATCTTTAGTGGATTTTTTCGTATTTTCTTCTTTTTTCCCCCCAAATTTTCATCCGTTTATGAATCATAAATTATTTGGCAGTCATGTTTGGAGAAGTTATTTTTGGATAAAGTATCAAATTAATAAAATTAGTCATGTTTGGTTTTTTAATTTTGTATTTTTCTGGAATTAATATTTGGAATGCCCTTTTTTTGTTCCATTGATATTGTTTGTGACAATAACCGTATGCAACTAATTTATGATTTATGATTATAGTATGCAACCGTATGCCCTTTTTTTATTCAATTAATTTCTGTGACCAAAAACTAATTTCTGCTCAAATGTTCAAAGTTCATACGGCTTTTTTTATTTAATCAATATTATTTCAACTTGAAGTTTGTCTAATTAAAGGACCTCTGGATTTCTTCTGTCTTCAGTTATAGGAGATTATTTTTATTTTTTTTTAGATTTCATCTCGTATATTTTTATGGCTTGATCATTGGTGTTATGACTGGGTATATTTTTATGGCTTGTTCAATTTACCTAGACAATAACACACACATATATATTCTTTAAATCCATCCGGGCTACAAAACTTAAATTTAGTTTTAAGTTATATTGATGAATGTATTTTAGGGACTTAAGTTATTAATAACCATGTTAGAATTTACATTAACCGTCAAGTTCCAATGTAGACTGTATAGTGAAGACCTATGAAGTATTTAGCATTAAAGCTGCCAAAAAAAAAAAACAGAGAACCGTTGAACCGGCCGGTCCGTGAACAGCCGGTCCAAGTTTAAAAACATTGCTGAAAATACTATTCAGTGTTGAAAGTATTAAATGTGGTCTCTGGCTAAGATTGTTCTTGATTCTCCTTCTGTGATCTTGTTATTCTTGGTGCATTAAAGGTGTACTTAGAAAGAGAAAGCAATTATAAGGAAAGAAAACAATTAGTTGCTCTGCCTAGAGATGATGCTGCAGTTGCAAGATATGCAATCTCCAGTTCCATTATTCCATCTGGCGGGTACTTAATTTTTTTTATACAAACTGATCACGTGTAATTAATTGGTCATGACTTTTGTGAAAATGAATTACCAATTTTGGTGGTTCGCAAGTCACTTTTTTCACACACAGCTCGTTCTTTCCAGTATCATGACCCAATTCATTCAATTTTTTATTGTTAACTTTCTTGAATTTGTATTTGTGGCTTATCGTTGTTGTTTAACTATATAGTTAGTTCATAATATAGTAAGAAGTTCTTCTATTCTTAGTTCGCTTATTTCTATTACATGAAAACTATATAGTTTTACGATTTGATCCATACTACTATATACGCATTTCTTTCTTCTTAGGCAGATTGAAGAAAACTCTTGATGTAACAACAATAATCTTTCTTGGTTTCTCTCTACAATACAATTCCTTGATATTTCTTCCTTAAGTACATTTCTTTCTCACTCTTTCAAGATGATTTCTTTTTGTTTCCTTTTTCTCTCACGTTATAAAAGTCTAAAGGCACGAGACATCAGACTAGCTACTTTGGTGGAAGATATTGTTCGATTAAGAGGATTGTTTCATATGTGCTCTTGTTGTCTAGTTAAAAATGATATGAATTAATTAAACTCTAAGATTAGCAACTATGCCTTGGGCATCACTTTAGATGAGGAACTCTTGTTTCCTCAGTGTCAAGAACACTGAATGTAAAGTCAACTCGAGCACTTGCTCGCAGTTGTACATCTTTTAAAAGCAATACAACCAATTATCGTTTTGAAAAAAAAAATTAAAAGTCTAATGGATTTTAATCATTATTGCTTATCCTGGCATACACAATTGTATCAATTCTTGAATAGTAGGCGATACTATCTTGTTTTGTTCATTGTCTGTCTACTAAAAAAAAAAAATTTATGTTCTGTCCATGGTCTACTATGCAAATTAATTATTTACAGTTTTGAATTTTGTAGAGCTAACTCTTGTTTGGATAGAGTATTATTTGAAATATTATTTAAAATAATTATTGTAGTACTTTTTGTGATGTGATGTATGTGAGATAAAAAAGAGACTAGGAATATAAAAATGTAGGTTGGGAAGTGTGTTTATGATGCAAGCGAAATATTATTTGAGATATTTTTGCTATCCAAAATTGTATTATATATAGTTTTGAATTTTTTGGAACTAACTCTAGTATAATTCCTTCCGTTGTCCATGGCTATTAATGCTACCCTTGTTCATTGATTGAGTTTAAATATTTTACTAGCGTTAGTATTTTTTTTTATTGGTTGGCTTTTGATGTAAGAATGTTGTAATTAGGCTCGTGTACCAATCATGATAAACCACAAAAAAAAAATATTAAAGAATTTTAATTGAGGTTTCTGAATTTTGCCAATGGATCATTAACATTTCTATGAATATGCTGATAAATAATGATTTGATGAACTGATGTTCTCAATCTAATTACTTTCCTTTTACAATCTAACACCACAGATGATCGTACTAGCTATTACTCTTCCCTTTATTCGTCGAGGTTTGGACTATAGGTTTAATTTAATTTATTTTCTACATTTGTTGGAGGAATTATTTGCATCTTGAATTTCTATTGATTTTTAGTTGGGGACAAATGTGAAATACTATTAGTTGGATCTAACTTTTGGATTTTTGTGATATTTAATGGATTCAAAAACACCTAAAACCAGGAAAATCAGGCAATAGTACTGCAAGGAATATCAGCCTGCTCAGGCACCCATGGGCCTTAGCCCGCCTGCTCCTCACATGACCCGAATCCCAATCTGAAACGGATAAAATCACGTGCCCAGTGTGGACTGCCTTCAGTGCCCTATATAAGCACAGCATCACAATTAAAGTTACATCGACAATTTTAAGAATAAGTTAGTTCAAATTGAAATTAGGGTTAGGTTTCCTTCGCTCCATGGCTTCCAACAGCGACAATGAACCCGAGCGTCTACGCGACCATCCTGGAATGAGAGGCATGATCCCCGAGCATCCGGCCATGGAATCGGAGCTACTGTCGCATTCCAGCAGCCAAGAGATCTGCTCCCAAGAGAGCAGCAGTAGCGACAAAGAGAGCCTCGCATTGAAAAGCATCGGCAGCAGCAGCCAAGAGGGCAGCAGCAGCCAAGAGGGAAGCGGTACCGACAAGCTAAGGGTAGACAAGCTGGCTGAAATTGTGGAGGAGGCAGAGGAGGGGGAGGAGTATGGGAAGGCAAAGATTTGGAAGGAATGGTGGGATCGTAGCAAGAAGGAATATGAAGAAACTAACTGGGATGAAATTGATTGGAAGGAGGAACTGGCTAATCTGAAGCCCTTGTCTGCTGAGGAACGCGCTGAGTTGTATGATTCTATTCCCTCTCCTCCAGCTAATTTTGACAAAATTGAGGGGCTGGATCCTGACCTGAAGCGTGCTTTTGTCCACGATGTGGATCCTGTGTTATGGAAAAAGTACTTGCAAGAGGTTAAAGAAAGCGATGTTAGTACATGAAATCCTGAACACTCTCCTTTTCTTTTTCTGCTTTTTTTTTTTAAGTTTTTAAATATTTTTTAAATCTGGTCTAGCTGCATTGTTGTCTTTTTTTTTTTGTTTAAATGTATTTGCATTCCACTGGGAAACCATTTTCATGTTCTAATGTATGTTACCTGAAAATATTTTTTTAGTTTATTTACCAAAATGAGAGTCATAATTCTTGCATTAATTTCTTCCATAATTTGTTCATATATGCGCGTAATAGTAAAGGTCTTACTCCGTTTCTGCTTTACATGCCTTAATGACTTGGATTTATGCATGAACAGGGATTTGATGTGATCACTGATCCGGGTGAGACTCCGTACCTTCCTGTTTACCAAATCAATCATGATGCTGATCCAGAATTCCACCAACAGCTCATCAACTTGGTTACAAAGGGCCTGCAGGATGTACGTTCCATTCCCTTTTTTGTGTTTCCATATCTAACTTAATTTCTTTTTTTTTTCTTTATTCCATATTGTTGAGTTTCTAAAGCGTTTTACTTCCTCTTGCAGGAGCATCCAGGATTCCAATTTAAGCAAATTGAGTGGGTGACTGCGTACTCCCTCTGTGCTGGTTGGGTATACAATGTCACTTTTCTAGCTCAAGGTGCTGATGCTCCCGATGGCAAAAGTTTTCAAGCCAGAGTTCATATTGGAGTCGATAAGGATGCTGTTTTATTTTGCCGTCCGAGAGCTGTTGAAAGCTAGGCTGCCTCAACAATTCTATTGTTGAAGGCAGACCTGCTATATCTGTTTATAGTATCCGTAAGCAAATGCTAGTTGTTAGAACCTAGTTACTGCCAAGCTGAATCTATCCTTGAAGGCAGACCTGCTATTTCTATTTATGATATCATGAAGAAATGCTATGGTTGTATTTATTGGAATGTTTAAGGAACTAGTATTTTGCAAATTTGGAGTTTAAAATTTAGAATCTAGACAGTTATGTGCCTTTTGCCCTTGGTAGTTATGTCAACTAAGATAGTCGAAAAGAATCATGTGTTTTATAATGTTGACAGTTTAATGTGGTCTTTGGCTGATGATATCTTGAACTTTCATCCTGTTACTTTTGTGCTTTGAATGTAAATAAAGATTTGAAATTGGTTGGTTGCACATCCACCAGTACTTGTGTTCCCATGTGGGATCAATTGGCATGGATCACCATGGAAGTTGTTTTGTGGTTGCAAATTTCAACTGAACTTGCAGAAAGTCTTAAAAAGAAGTATTTGATGGATTATCTGATTCTTATAAAAGTTTTGAACGTCAGTGGTTTTTTTGTGTGGTCACATGATTTAGGTTGGTTTAGATGTGCTGGTTGTTTGTGGTTGTTTTGAGTGCTCTTGAGGTTTGACTTATTTCATCTGATATTGCTCTGAAGATCTTTGAGAGCTGAAATGCTTGTATGCTGCAAGGAGCGTTCTTTCCACTTAAGCAATTTTCACTCCATTAGAGCTCTTATTTAGTAGTGAAAAGAGTGGTGTGAATCCCCGAACAGGAGCATCATATCTGAAATTGCTATTGTTGGTTTTGGCAATATCGGGTCACAAACTTTGGATCTTATATGATTGATGTTGCTTTATGAATAAAATGTGTCCAAGGACCAAAATTGTGAAATCTTGTCATCAGCTGATGTTTTGTTACTTTTCCTTGATCAGCTTCAGCTTTGATCTTGAAAACGTATTAGGATGATGACGATTGCTACTCTCCACTTGCTTTATATGCCTTCTAGAGTTGTCTTTACTTTACCCCTTCTGTTGTTTGGTTTGCGGGTTTGGCCATTTGGTGGAGTTGGGGAGGGGATTAGCCTATGCCAATGTAAGAAGCTGGTTTATGTGCTGTTGACTGAGGGAACAGTGCAGAAGTTGTCTTGCTTGTTCCAGTTGTACTGTATCAAAAGCTTGCCAGTTAGTGGTAGAAAGTAATGGGTTGTTTCTCCTTTTGGAACATTTTTTTTCTTTGTTTTTTGGTTTAAGAAACTACTTTCTTTACTTTCTAGTTGTTGCTTTATTAAATCAGCTTGTGTGGCTTTAGCTGTGCAGCGTTGGTTCAAACTAGAAACTCTTAATGGTTGTGCTGCTTACGAACGGCTTTGGTTGATTAGAAAACAGCACTAGTGCTAAATGCTCTGGCTTAAATGTTTTGTTGGAATATTTTCAAAGGAAGCCCAAGTTGGTTAGTTGAGTGGTGTTTTGCTGGTGTTTCTAGGTTTGAACTAGGGGTGGCAATGGGGGGGGGTGGGTTGGGGGAGCCGCCCCGTGGCATTTTAATTCCCCCCGCCGCTGCCCTGCCCCGCTTCCCTTACGGGGGCACCCGTGGAATTAAAAAAATGTTACTATATAATTTCATTATAATTAAATTTGAGTAAATAATCAAGTACTAAAATATCAACACATCACTAAATTATTATTCATTGGAATTTTATAATTGAAATTCGTAAAAATAATTAAACAAAGGTTTTTTTAATACAATATAATATGATAAACAAATATAATTAAAATAATTAAGTTTTCACTTTTGATACAAACAATCACTAAATTATTAGTGTTTTTTTTTAAAAAAAAAATTGTTATTGTATTAAGTATAGTTAGGAATTTAACATAAATGTATTAATAAATTTAATATAAATAATTAATAATTTTTATTAATAGACATGTATAATTAGTAGTATAATTGATAATAACATTATATATATATATATAATTATGTACATATATATATATATATATATGTATATATATTTTTAAATGGGTGATGGGGCGAGGCGTGGGACGGGAATATACTCCCCCACCCCATATCTAAACGGGGGGAAAAAATTCCCCCCCCCCCCCCCCAAGCCAATGACCTCCTGTGGGCACTTGCCCTGTTGCTATCTCTAGTTTGAACTCTTGCTTTCTGGACGTAATTGTCGGAAGTTGGCAAGTTGTGTCCGAAAATTAGAATGTAATTGTCGTCCATAGGTTGTGTAGCTATGGGGTGCTATTCTAGTGACTTTTTTGTTGGAGATCCAAGCGAGAAACAAGATAGTCTAATGTAGTAGTATTTTCAAAGAAAAAAAAAACTATAGAAAATAAAGGAGTTAGTATCGGAGCCTGCTGCAAAGCGAAGATTCAGATCATAATTTGGATATGGCCTATTTTTAAGAGGCCTTGCCTTGCTCCTGGTGTAGATTTGATACCTGCGCTAATTTGTCAAAGATCCTGATCCAATCTTGAGGAATGAAAAAATTGAAGTTTAAGAAAAGATTACAAAGGACCTTCACTTTGGAATTTAATTTGTTTGGATAGTGGGTTATTTTTCCAAATATATTTGCTTACATCACCATTACAATTTTCAATACAATTTTTTATCTTCCCAATTACCTTTTTATCTCACATACATCACATCACAAAAAGTGTTACACTAAAAATATCTCAAATAATTTACAATCCAAACAAAAGATTAGCATTCGAGGTGATGTCAAGAAAATCATCAGTGGGTTTGTTTGGATTGCTTCATATTTTCCCAATTTTATTTGCTTACATCATCTTTACAATTTCCAATACACCTTTTTATCTTCCCAATATTTTTTTATCTCACATACATCACATCACAAAAAGTACTACAGTAAAAATATCTCAAATAATCCCAAATAACTCACAATCCAAACAGACCGAGTGTTTTCTTGGCAAAACAGGCCACTTATCCTCCACCAGCTATATCAAGGCCTCTCCAGGAAGTTCTTCAGTCATTTCATTTAAAACTAAGGATAGGTTTGGGCGGGAGGAGGAAACTCGGTACGGCAACGGGCGGGTTTTAGTTCACCCGGTCCCCCCCCCCCCCCCCCCCCCGGCCAACAAAAACCCACAGGGTCAGCTTTTTTTTTTTTTTCCAACTCCCTTAACACCTTTACTAGTAGAAAAGGCTAATACTACTACCACCACCACTACTACTAATAGTACTATTATCAGGGAAAGCTTACAATAATAATTTATTCCAACATAATATGAAAAAAAAAATAGAAGTATTAATAATATTATTTTTAATTAATTAATTAATTAATACGGAGGATGGCACCATCCCGTTTAAGAGCGGGTGGAGGAAAATCCCTCGCTCCATCATTACCCCGCGGACATCCGCTCCGGGTGCCATAGTCTGACCTCCAAAACAAAACAGAAAATTTCAAGAGATTCGTATCATATACAAGATGACAAAGGAGTAGGGCCTTTAAACTAGAGCACAAAATCTTAACCTCCCTAGCTGTTTCGCTAAATATTACTATACTATACGCGATTACGATACTAATCATCATCAAGACAGCTTTGGCGTAATGGGCAGGCTAGCTAGTTGAAGATTCCAGTGTTCATACACTAAAGCGGATGCATCAGAGTATTTTTCATCTTATTTAATTTGTATACATACTAATTTGATAATATGCCTCTAATAGACATATCTGTCTTGCTCCATTATTTGATGTTGACAAAACACGCTTGACGCTAGAGATAATATATTTGTTTACCAAGGTGATGAAACATGGCAAATTCTTTCAATGTCTAAGAATTTCAACGTCAACTTAGCTGTGAAACGTATTCATCCCTGCCTAGATTGTACTTAGTATGAGTACACAAATAAGCAGATGGGATTATGGCGTGCAATTGAGATGAAAATTTTCAGTCAGAATACCCCAATGACAAATAGACACATCAATAACTGCATATCTATCCACATTATACTAATGCAGTTTGTGCATAAATAAATAAGTGCAAAACCTAAATGACCACTATCAAGAAAGTTTCACAATCTGAGTCCAAAGGACATTTGTTAAAAAACTTGACGCGGAGACGTTCCAGCTTAGTGAGAAGGATAAAAAGGATAAAGAAACTTGGACTATGTATTCTCGAGATTGATGGTAAAAAGGGCATTAAATTCAATAAGATAAGGGTTTTTTTTATTAATACTTGAAGATACGAGATTCCTATAATCTTGTATGAGAGCCCCTTTAAACGCACAATTAAACATCCATGCTGCTGTTAAAGGCAAAGCAAGAAACCCTAGAATGAATCTGAAACCATTTGACGAGGTATCTGCATTCCAAGCATCGTTCAAAGACTAGGTCGAGTCCAAGACGACTTAGCCGAGTCGTCACCATTTCGTACCCTCCTGATACGATACTGAGATGATACGATTTTCAGATACTTGACTTGCTGAGAAATCAGTCGGGATGTCGCAGTGGAGGATTGAAACGGTCGAGTCACACCGAATCACTCCGAGTCAACTCGAATCCAACAAAAAACCTTTAGAAAAAAAAAAAGAAAAAGAAGGATAAAAAAAAGTGAAACCCGGGGCCATTGGAGTAACAACTACTGCTAGGTCCTAACACACGAGAATAATACTAGTGATAGTGTTAACTATCAAGGATTTGGATACTACCATCCTACTCAGCAATTCATCTCCAAATCCAGAAGTTCATCCGTCTAATAATTATGGAACATCTAGTTAATCCTCACATCCAACAAATACATCAGATAACTCTCTTATACACTACCTACACAAAATCCTATGCCACATCCACATTTGTTTTACTATTTATCTAGAAATGAGGGTGACTTTGAACCTTATCGTCATTCTATTTGGTATTAACAGGTACAAAAATATTAAGTAATAGTATATCTTTTTACATAGGGTTAATTACATTTTATCCCCTTAAAAAATACCCCATTTCTCAGTTTACCCCCTAACTTTTAATTTTGCTCACTTAACTCCCTTTAGGACAAAATTGTCCTTGCATTATTTTGATTTTTCATTTACCTTGTTTTCCTTTCTTTTATTTTTTTCTCTTTTTTCTTTATTTAATTCTTTCTCTTTCCCATAAAAATCTTCACCTTAATGATTGAAATTAAAAAAGAGAAATTGCAGAGATCTATCTTCTCCTTAAATGATTAAAAAAAATATTCAAATCACTTTCCTAAAATATAATTTTTTTAGCCTTTCAATTATTTTAATTTTGGATTTTCCTCTTTCCTTTCTAGTTTCTCATTTTATTCCCAAGAAAATATCTTAAGATGAAATTTTGACCTGATTAATAATCATCAATTGAAATTTGTGACATGTGGCATCATACAAAAAATCAAAATTAG